TTTTTTTCCATTTGCAGTCGAAGCACACGCACACAGAATTTATTTTTTTCTCGAAAAAAAAGAAAGAAAATAATCAGAAGTTTCAAGTTTCTTATTATAATTGATGATAGATGTGTCCATTCGATTGATGATTAACATTAAGAGCATTATATGATATTGAATGATGTTGACGATGACCATATATAAAATCATGATGATACGCTGATGAAATAGGAAAATGATTATTATTCTCAATAAATGTTTGAGATGGTGATGTATATTGTTGTTGATGATATATTGGTGTTGACTGTTGTTGATTATATTTCATTGCAGTTGGATATCCAGTTCGATAGTAAGATGAAGGTGATAGTGCTGCTTGTTGTTGTTGCTGTTGTTGATAATACATATTTTGTTTTCTTGGTGGTACATTATAATGTTGATGATGATTATTATTAGTATTATTTGAACTAGCCAGTGGATAACCAGGATGTGTTGTATTAACATTAAGTTGAAAATTAGCCACAACAGGTACATTTACTGTCATATGTTGAGATGGTGTTGGCTGTTGCTGTTGTTGTTGTTGTTGAGACGATGTATAATAATGAGAATTATAAGATGATGATGATGAAGAAGATGATGGATAAAATTGTCCTTCATAATCACAACATGAACAATTTATTGTATCACAACTTGAAGTTGTTGTCATTGTTGGTGGTGGTGTAATCATTGTTGTTGATGATGGTTGTTGTTGTTGTTGTTGATTTGTCCAATCTTCAATATGAACAGGTGATGTTTGTTCAATTTTAGCTATTTTTGGTGATGTTGAACATGCTTGAATTTGTTGATCAGATAATAAATCAAGTTTTTCGATTGAATTTACCTAAGAGAAGAAGAAGATCTTATTATTGAAAATAAAAACTAATAAAAATATACTTTTTCTAAAGCTTTCGAAGATTCTCCCCCTTCTTTCTGATCATATAACCATGGATCATTTTTTATTGAACTACATGAATGTGATGTACATTTGTTTTCTTTTATTTTTCCTTTACGTTTTGGACGAATTAAACGTTCCATAGTTTTTGGACTTGATATATCTGTTTCATCTATACTTGCATCATCTTCATTCATTTCATTCGCTTCAAATTCTTCAGCTAATTTTGGATCTTGTAACATCAGTTGTCTTTTATATTTCATTCGCCGATTTTGAAACCAAACCTATAAAATATAATAAAAAAAGAATTCATAGAAAAATTTAAATTTACCTTGACTTGTCGTTCAGTTAGTAAAAGTGTCGATGCAATTTCTACACGTCTTGGTCGACATAAATATTTTGAATAATGAAATTCTTTTTCCAATTCTAATAATTGTTTATTTGTATAAGCTGTTCGAATACGTTTAGGTGCATGTGGATTATCTATGTATATTAAACAAAAAAAAGAGAAATTTTTTTTCTTCTATTGACACATTCGAACAGCCGGACAATATCAATCAATCGACATGAAGATGTCTATATATGTAGTTTATGGTCAAAAGTAAACACAACTGTTTGTCTCGTATATATTCAAACTAGTACTACTCTTAGGCTTTTGTTTGAAGGGTGTCGACAGGCGGAAGAGAATATGTGTATATGTATGTATCTATTTCTACATTTATATATGTATATATCGTACAATAAATGACAAGATATTGCGATAGTTTGATCGAAGCAACAAAAAAAAA